GTTATTGGTGTATTTTTATTTTTTGAAAACTTACACTGATTATAGACTATTTTTAAAGCAAAAGACTTGAGTGAGTTTTGTTTACCTAATTTAGTTTTTTTTTAATGTGCACATTTGTCGACACTGTAATAGTTTGATATCTGAATACAACAAACTTGTGTCAGTGTTACAATGGAAAAGGACAATAATATCTACATGTTATTGGTGTATTTTTATTTTTTGAAAACTTACACTAAGAACTGTTTATCTGTGCTTGATTTACATCTCATTCCATTTCAGACAAGTCCAATTAAATCATAAGTAATTAGCTACTATTTTTCAATGTATTTCATTCATTTAATACACACATGACTTAATTAAAATTGCTTGTAATTACTAGTAAAACAATATCCTGATTAGCATTTTTTAATTAATTTAACAACAAACATTTTAGACTAACACATATGTAARTAAATGACACTAATGACGAGACTCGTTTTAAAGAGTTGACAACCAGCAGCACCTAACGACATGTTAAAATCTCTGAAATAGAWCTGTGGATGGAGGGGTCAGTCAGATAGCAGAAGACAAACACCTCCATTGAGCGTTGTCAACCTTTTTGGAAAATTTCAACATGATTAGAAAAAACTGTTAGAAAAAAATTGACACCAATTTGTGTGATATCTGTCTGCAGGAAGGGAATCTTCAAACGCATTATGGCTAAAGCATTTTAAACTGATAAAGCTCTATCATGCAAAGAAGAAACGTGTGAACACCATCCAGAGTTGATGCTGGCTTCTCTGGGTCCAAAGCTCATTTTAAAAGGATTGAGAAGAAAATGAAAAAGTGTTCTGTGGTCTGACAAACTGAATTCTTTTTTGGAAACCAGATGCCATGTGATTTGTACCAAAGAGGAAGGCAACAATCCAGCCTGCTATGAGTGCAYRGTTTAAAGGTTTAAAAGTCCGTCTKCAGAGGAGTCAGAGTGTTGAACTGGTCTGCCTGCAGTCCAGAATCAGGGGCTCAGACAAGAACGTGATAATCCCCTCCAAAAACTCTAGAAATCCAGWTCCTGGACATTTATGAACTATTGCTAAAAGAAGAGGGAAGTTTTAGTGTTAAACATGGAAAATGCAGCTTCCTGGTTGTTTGCAATCTGTAAACATTTCTTTACTCGTGTAAATCATCTTTTTAGGTTGTTTTTTTTTTTGTGGGTTTTTTTGGAGGGGGGGTATGAATGTATGACACCTAACATGCAGATCCCTTTAATCATAAATGAAAATTGACAATATTTTGCATTTAAATTACACTTTTAGGCTTCCAGCCGACACCATGTTTATATTATCATCCAGATTATGCACAGGTTAGAGATTAGTCCACTGCCAGAGTCTTGATCTCACCTCAGTGATAAACAGAATTTTTCACCATCTAAGGTTTAAATTAACACATCCCCCAGATTTCTTACTTCTTTAATTTTGAAGCAGACACAGATTCTGACAGGTTGCTTTTGCCAGAAGGTGAAGAAGTCTGGCAGCAGCTCTTCTCCTCCTCAAACTTSTTTTACTCCTCTGCACCAGGACACTGCTCGGACTGGGGACATCTGGCCACCATTTCAACCCAGGACAAGGTGAGATAAGAGAGTGTCCAAACACAAACCATACARCAAGATTTCTACACTTTTTTTAAGAGGAACAAAAAACATACAAAAAGAAAGTGTTCATATGGTAAAAAGGTCACCCTATAATAAAAAAGGCAGATGTAGGACCTTTTCATGAGACATAAGATGCTTTATTTACAGGACTATCAGACAAATATGTTTTATTGAACAAACAGGGAAAAATGTCTCAAAAAAACAAATGACATAAAACTGTTCAAACTAATATTCAACACTGCATTGCAAGTCAGTTTTTATGACCAGAGGCAGAGTCAGGGGGTGGCCATGGCCACCAAAGAAAAATCTTTGGCCACCCCAGTGGACACCCCAACTGCTGGTTTCCCTGCAAAATTTTGATGTAGCTAGTCCTAAATGCAGAATGTTCTTTTCAAAAGCACTGCTGAAATAAGTAATTCTCATTCTCATARTTTCTCCTCTTATARTTCTTTTGTAAGTTCATATTCTGGTGTTTGCAGCTCTATTTAAAAAAATTGAGAAGTTTTTTTTTTTCCCAACAGAAGAAGCTTACTGGCAAATACTGAATTTTTTTTTTTTTTTTTTTTTTTATTTCCGGAGCATGCACCAAGCAGTAGGGCACCCAAATGACTACCACCAACCCTGCTACTACACTACACACTATTATGCTGAATTTTACAGAAAACATGTCTCTGGTAAAAGTATTATGATAGACTACAAATGATTTCTGTACAAGAAAAGTCATTTTAGCCTCATATTTTCAGAAATTCAGGTTTTAATGCAGCTAAACTGAACAACACTGCCACCTGTTGACAGCAGGATACCAGCAATCTATAGGGATAATTTATTTAATCTGAAAACTACACTATATCGACTTTGTATTTCATGTCACATCTTTTAATATCTATAAGTAATATATTTTAGGTTATTTATTTTAAATTTACAAATGCTATTAATGTTTGTTTAAGTGAACACATCATTTGTATTTAGGCCTGGATAAATAAGATTACAGACAAGATACAGGTCTTCTGAGCTGACCTCAGTAGGTGTAACAGTATGTAACTGTAACTGTATGGAGTTTTAAGCCATATTCTGATGTGGTCTTTTTTGTTATGAAGAAATTGGCAGCCTTGTGTGTCCTCTCCTTGATAAGCTTGTTTAAAAGRTATTGTTTTACACTCTTGGGTGGACAGATTGCACTGCTTGGATCTGTCTCATTTCTGTGATGTTCCTGCTTGACATTTACTGTTGAATAAATTAATAAAAATCCCCAACTTGGGTTATCTTTATGCCATTTGTTGAGGGTATGGAAGAGAGACAAAACATATGAGTTTAATTTTTTWATCATTATTATTTGATTTTTCACTTGGCAATAACACACCACCAATACAATATTGATGCTATGTGCCAAAATGTGAATAAAAAAATCATGTTTTTGGCCCTTTTGGCCTTCTGTGATGCAGTGTGGTGCTGTGTTCCTGGTAGGTTTTGGCTATAAATTGACATCTTCATCTGTATTATTGAAACTATGGCCTTCATCTGGTTTTGGACTGTGAGAGCATGTTGAGAGGAATCAGGTCTACAATATTTCAGTGAGTTCAAAGACAGCCATAGTCCTCTACTATCTTGTTTACTTTAAAGAGGTCTGGAGAGGAAAAAAAATTTTCCCTTCACAAGTGCTCGTTGTGGCATAGGCAACCAAAAAATTTTTTATCTTTTTGCCACCATCTTTTTGTCAGTTCATGGCACTGAGCAAATCTTACCTCCTACACTCACGCCTACATTTTGTCCTTCCTCATCACCACTTCCTCCCATCCCACTCATTTTTRCATTTCATATTTTGGTGGGCTGAGTTGGACTAATTGAACCATGAAGACTGATGAGCTACAACTCAAGGGTCAGTTCAGGAATCAGGAATTGTACAAAATATTTCACCAACATTGGTTCTGCAACTGCACAAGTGAAAGGCTTAGAAAATCTGTCTAAAATAAGGTAAATTTTCACTGTGTTTCAAGACAAATGGTGAGAATGATCCCAGATGAGTTTGACTCACACAAAAAGGCAAGATGTTGGATTTGGCCCCYGAGGAGCTTGCCTTTGTAAAGGTGGCAATGTTCTCAAAGTAACAGAGCTATAAGCAGTTACAGTGTGGTAAGTCTACATTTTGTACAAATATAATCACATGTGTGTGTTCTAATATGTCTTATGATGACAAAATGACCACTGGCACACTTCATGAAAACAAATTTGATTTCAGTCTTCTCAGGAATGGGTCAGAGGACCATACTTCAAAGCTATATTTTTCTCTGATCCCTTCACCTTGTTTAGTCAGACTGAAAACAAAGATCACTTCAGCTGTCTATGGCACAGACAACACTTGGCAAGGTGGGATAACAATGCTGCATTGTGCTAAAACTTTATGTTTGTGTGGGTGCATATTTTCAAAAGCTGCTGCTTGTTTTAATTAATGTTTTAATGAAACAGTTTTCACACTTAATTCCTTCTGATCTCCTTGTTTTATGTTTGATGCATGAATGTATTTACAGTCAAACTGTTTAAATGTAGTGATTACATGAAATGCAACTGTGTAAAAATATTTTTGAAGATTCAAACTACATTAACTATGCATTTCAGAAAATAAGAGAAATTAATCTCAACTATAGGTTWGTTTTGCTGTGTTTGTCACATCACAAATCTTTTATGAAAATGCGGCCTTCCTATTAAGTATGTATTTTATATGTGTGTTAAAACTCACAATATCTTGGATGACTWGAACAAGCTCAACAAAGACCATCTGTTGAAGAAGATTTAAAAAACGTTTTAAATTAATTTTTTTAATCACGTTTGTGTTATCTTTAGATGTGTATAAAAACGTGTTTGGGTGTAAAATATCTTACATATTTCCAGTTTATGACATGACCACTAGGTGATGCTTTTAAACAGGACGTGTCATAAAGTCACTCACTTTATGGGAAAAGTAAAGCTTACCTTCTGTTTCCACTTTGAAACAGATAATGATCGTTTTAATACCACTGACTGAGGGCCTTTAGTTCTAACTATTTCATATAATTGAAACATGTTAATTGATTGGTAATGTTAATGACAGGAAATGTGACTAAAGTTTCAAATTAAACAACACAAAAATAATTTTATTTTGAAATTTGCTACCGGAAAACACCGTCCTGCAAAACATCCAGCGTGACGTGATTCTGCTGATTAGTTACTGACAATCGTTACGTCTGGACTTTCAATGATGTATGGAAACAGCGGGCTGTTAGTTCGTTTTAGGGTTTATTTTAACAGACGTGGAAAGCTAAAAGTGAGAAACTACTAAGCAAAGAACAGTGAAAAGTGCACCTCCGTTCTGGGCAGCTTTGGTGACCGCAGGTTCGTTGACATATCCCGAGCAGAGACAGCTAGGTGTAGCGGAGTTTCAATTTAGCTTGGTAGCTAACTAGCTAACCTAATTGCGTCGCGCATATTGACAGGCTCCGTGGACTGAGAACACACGATTCTGGGAGTCAGCAACACGTCGGTTTTCTTTGTAATTTTATTTTATTTTTATCTGTTGCCAGTTGAACCAGAATCAACGTACTGAGGCGTATCCGGACACCGTCAGAGACYGAACAGCCCTATCCCGGAGGATCCACCGTCAAACACTTGAAATGCTTTCTGCTTGTAACTTGTAGCTAACGAATGGCTGTAAATATAATTACAATGGATCGAATGGACAGCTAGTCTGCTCTGCGCCAGCCCACCATGTAAGCTAATCCTCCTTGTCGCGAAAATTAGTTGACTTGTGACTCATCGGCGTAGGTCGGACGGCACAGGAGGAGCAGCCCCTCCGAAACACGACAAGAAAAGAGACGGGTTACATCAGAGTCCTACAGCTAAACAAGTCGGTACTGTTAAGTGGAGCCGTGTTACCGCTTTGACGCGACCATATGCCTGCGCCTACGCCCGTCTCCACATCCTAAAGAGACGGACAGAGTGGAGAGAAGGGGAGGGAGGCAAAGGCAGCTCCGGGTTCCCCCGACACTCAGCCAAGAAGAGGCAGCGCTGAAATGAGATGAGGCTCAGAAATGGAACTGTGGCCACCGCACTCATTTTCTTCACGTCTTTCCTCAGCCTCTCCTGGTACACGGCATGGCAAAATGGCAAAGGTAGGTTAAACATTTATACAGTCATTCAGTCTGGGCCATAGATGAGTCCACTTCTCCCCCACCCCCCACCTGTCCTGTTGAGGACTACCCAAAGAAACCTTGAAAATATAGTGGTAGTGAGGTGTCTCAAAACAATATATGCTGTCAATGATTTTGCAACACTTCACATTGGTTCAATTCAGTTCAAAAATACTTTATTGATCCCAGAAGGAAATTTGRTAAATTTRGTTGTTTCTCTTTTYTGAGCATTTGTTTTCTTKTCTTGACTCATGCTAATTGTGTGCTTTATTTCAATCATGTTACATCGCTTATAAATTTGTGACAGATTTTTTTTTATCTGTTGTTTGTACTTTTCTCTTTTATTGGCAATTATTTAACATCACTTTTGTTTCCRTAGCTTTTGTTGTATGGTTTCTTTATCAATGTCATTGTACCACAGTTCTCTTTATTTTACCTATATCTGTCTACTTTACCTTTTTAATTTTCTTTATTTTAACAACTTTAATATTATTGTGTAACACTTACACATCACTTTAGTATGTCTTCATTTGGTGGTTTAGCAACTTTGTGTTGCTACTTCCTTTTGTGTTTTTACAAKTTTACTTTCATTCTATCTTGGTTGTTGTCAGTCTTGCGTAATATTAGTCTTTCTGACGCCTTTGGTSTCTGTGCTTGCGGTATTTGATGCTTAAATTAAAGCTGTTGTGTAAAGAATAGCAGCTATTTAAAAAGTTGTGATTAACAAATTGCTAGACAGTAGGATGACACGTCTGATTGCTGTGCTACCTAGATCCAAAGTCTAGGTCTCGGAGATCAGCCGATACTTGGATAAGATCAGTGGGAAAGATCAGCTTCTCATCTACCTTTTACATTTGTGTAAAAATCAGCCACTGTCCCCTTTTGCTCTGCTGTGAGCACTACCGAACATCCAGTTAAAACAAGTTTGTAATGTTTCAAGGGTATTGTTCAATGTTTRTCARTAAAATAAGATTGGGATGTTAAATGTGTATTGTAACCTTATAACATCCGACAGTGTCMGTTGTTTTAAAAATCGGTATCAACCAAAATCAGAATTGGCAAGCCAGACTTTTTAAAGATTGGTGATCAGCCAGAAAACTGCAGAAAATATAGCTTTACAATACGTTACATCTTCTACCACTACCCATCACTTCTATTATTATCACAATTAAGTCAGGATAGTATGATCGCATCAGTAACAGGTTGCAACTTATTGCACTTTTCAAAGACATTTTGCTTCCATCAGAAACATTTCAGTCTTTCAACAGAGCGTTAGCTATATATTTTTTTCATGTGCTGTAAACATCTGGGCATGAAATAATYATCCACGTGAGTCTGTGTTTCAGTTGAGCCTGAGGCAGGGTGATTACTTGCCAGCGTTGTAGAGACGGTTATGGGCCTTGGTGGCTTGTTATCATCAGTGTGTAAATAATTACAGCCTTCAGATAAATTCCTAGGCAAGGCTTCATGTTGAGATTTCTCAGAAGCTTATCAGCTTGATGGTATATTTTCCATTAAATGTAGTCCAGTGAGTGGCAACATTAAAACAAGCTGGGAGTGGTGCACTGGCTGGATTAAAGTGCCTCTGTAGACAAAACTCAAGAGATGATGCCCCCTYTTCTGTTTCCCTTGTTGATAAAATATATCCTTAAAATTTAAGGTAGATACTTCTGCTCAGTTTGGAATAACTTTCCAATTAGTACATAGATGATTAACATCTTTGCTAATATTATGAGCTTTATACAAATGCCTTTTATCTGTCTCTCACTTTTAATGTAATGTTTATTATTTAGGGGTGGACAGCTTTTTCAGTCTGCATCTGTCCTTGCAGACCCTGATTGAGTTGCAATGTGCACTTTTCTTTTCTGACACACCAGTACATGTCTTGCTGGGATTAAAAGAATTCCTTTTTCTTAAAATTAAAGCTGGCCTTTTTGAGTTGACTGTTTTTGTATATCTAAAGTTTTCCCTTGGATTATTACTTCCTTTTAAATAAGAGTATTATGAGAACAGATTACTATTAACATGTTCCACAAATGYATTGTATTTAGCTGGGCATTGACACAATGACGTTGAGCTCAACTCTGTTTGACAATAAACACCTCTAGTATTTTGGTTGTAATTTGACCAAGTATTTAATGTATTTTATGCTATGTTGAATGAAACATAGAAACATTTGGCTACAGTCTTATAATCTTCACGTTCTTTTCAGTTAGATTTGTTTTKAATCACTTTTAAAGCCGTGACTACATAACCTGTCTTTTTATCATTACTGACCCGTATCGATCCCTGCATTGATCGAAAACAATATGCTGACTCACTCTAATATGGTGGATCTTTTACTGTCATTGATGCTGTCAATCCACCYGGCATGTTGCGTTTCTGTGCATGGAGAGTTTCTCCAGGACTCTTGGGAGTTGTTGTTTATGGGTCTAATGTGAATGCAGAACTACCTGCTGTAAATCAAATAGCCCCCCAGGAATAATAAAAATACATTGAACCATGAAGTAAAAACAGACTAATGTAGTGCTTCAGCTGCTATTGTAGACCCAATGCATAAGGGGCAATAGTGTTTGAGATGGTTGTGTACTTCCCCTCAGCTAAGCAGGTGACAGGATAGTGTTAATTAACTCTCTGATCTGTGGGCAGTGGAAAGATACCAGGATAGGTAGCAAAATGCTAACAAAAGCAGATAAATTGAATGCTGCTTAAAAACTAATACATGTTTAAGAAATGCAACTTTATTGGTTTGAATATGTTTTATGTAAATTAATGCTAAGTATCAGTAGCTAAAATCTCTAAAACGTCTAATCAATAAAGAGTTAACTTATCATGACTATTGGGTGTGATATGTGATTTGTCTTTGCATAGGCTTTGAATATTCTATCTAGATTTTTTTTGCTYGTTTGCTGTTCCTTTGTCCTGGTACTTGGTTAAAAATTAACAAAATGCATCATAGTTATAATGTACTRCCCTTTTCAAGCATTTTTCTGAATGCAGTCTTTTAGAAATGTGATTCTTTTCTTTTAATTTGCGCCATCCATCTCTGCTTTGAGCCATATTAAAATTTAAATGTGTGTTTGTTTAATCAAAATCACATTTCAAATAAGACTTAAGGAATAATGATGTTTTACTCCTTTAGGCTTTTTATGGAAGAGAATGTATTTAATTAAGCTCCAATCTTTCAACATACAAAAAGCTCTGATTGTGTTTTTTGTGCACATTGTTTTCAGTTTGTGTCAGCTCACAGTGTGACAAAAATCCTGGTCAAGAGAAGATAACGAATGCGAACTGATATCTTGGGACAAAAACTTAAAGATTACTAATGAATCGACCATTTAATATTTATTAGGTTTATCTGCAGTGTAAAATTTCAGTGTTAATACCAGGGTACATCAATGTCTGATGGCTGTATGGTCTTCATTTGTGTGCTTTACTCACATTCAAATCACATTTTGCATTATATTTCACTAACTCCCTCTGTTTTTATGCATTTCAGCAAGGTCTTTACAGACTTCACTGTTTTCTATGTCTGATTTCTCTTTTCTCTTTGACCATTGTAAGTGTTTCTTCATTATTAAGTCATTTTAAAAATATAATATTTACATCAAGTGTTTGGGAACATGGACATTTATACTTGGGTGCATTCCATCCTGTAGAGAAGCTTAAAGATGTAGCTTTATCCTGTGTTTTCAGTGTTTATTGAGGGAAAAGAGGTATTCTTAGATCATGTGTTGGTTTTAGTTTTGATGCATCCTTCATTTCTGACAGCCTGTCTTGTTCTGCTTAGTCGACTGCTGTGTTAGAGCGTTGCCTGTCAGCTGTCCAAACACTCGCTGTTGAATGACTCTCCAGAATGTGTACTTCTCTGTTAGTCTCTCCTTCACTCCTTAAAGTAAGAGAATGCTTATTTGCATTGCTTGATTTTATCTTAAGCAGATTTAAACTACAAATATAATTGTAATATTTTATATTGTGAAATGTGCTATTAAGATAGAACTGACAGCATGTGTTGAGAATGCATTTTATCAAAATAGTGTGCTGACTAACTGATGGAGAAACAGTCTGCACACCATGTTGGTAATTGTCCTATTATTGAGGATCTTTCTTGTTTGCATTTTGTACATGCAGCTGCAAATACAATGTAACACCTGTTCAGACAGTTAAAAGACTGGTCATACATCCAGTTAATGTAATTTCTGAGTAACACTCTGGGATGCTCCAAACCTTCTGTTTCCTTAAAGATTGTAGAGGCTAACAAAACCGGTTTTCTGGGTAAACTGCAAACAATGATTTATTTATTTTTGTCTTTTGTTAATGCAGACAGTCTAGTAAAAAAAACATATTTCTTCTCTTGCTTGGGAAAGAAAATAAGGAATAAAAATGATTTTCTTGTTCAAATGTAAACTTGGCAAATATCCTGTTTCACTTCTGATAATGGCTTGCAGTTTATACAAACATTTATAACTGGTATCTGTGTGACAGTCTAAGTTTGGCATAAGACATTGCCATATACAGTATCAAGTACAAATAGATATTAATAAAATGCCACTTTATGTTCTGTCATTTGTTTTTGTCATTTAAAAAGTAAAATATGTTAATGAGAAAAATTAAAAAGTTCAGAAAAAGCATGAAATGGAAGTCTTTATCACCAGAAATATCAACAAACTTGATCAAATTAGTCAATTTATTATTAGTTCATTTAGTTAAATGTCGCTACACTGTGTTTGCTGTCACACTTTCTGTGTTGGAAAATTGTTTTGTACAGTTAATGCCYCTACATGTTGCTATCAAAAGAATGTAGTTTTAGGCTCTTTTTATTTTTGGAGCCATGATGTGAGTGTAATCCAAATAAAGCGTACACATCACCACCGGCGTAATTTACACGGGGGATGGGGGGGTTATAACCCCCCCAATAATTTGATCCAGTCAATATAACCCCCCCAATAAAATTGCGTCATTTAAGTATACATATATTAC